TCCCACATGATTCTTATATATTTAAATGTTTTGGATTAAATCGTAGCTTAAATTTAAAAAACAAAGTCGGCAACAGCTGAATAGAGAAAAAAAACCTACGCAATCAAATTTAAATTTATTTTTTGGGAAAACAAATTATATAATGCATCCCCTAAATAATTATTTTAAAATGATAAATACCTGCATGTCCACCTCTCTGGGCATTTCAGTTGCGAATGCTTAAAATGGGATACTAAATCAATTTTCTGCTAAAATCATCCGATTGGTTGAGAGATATGTACCCAAATATGAATGTAAATTGGTGAGGTCATTAGAAAGGTCATGTCACTACTCGTTTCCTATATATATCTAGTAGATACAGGGCGGGGCCCGGCTCGAGCTATCGCTCTCGCCTCAAGCCCCGCCCTGTATCTCTGATACAGTAGGAAACTCGTACTCTAAATATAACATGGAAAATTACCTTTATAAATAAGAAAAGTACAAAAGAAAGCGATTTGTGAACAAAATGCTAAGTATCGTACATATGCCGTTTAAAAGCAAAATTCATGATTATTGATTAATTCACAACTGTTATTTAGTTGAACTTGTGAAATATCTCACGCCATTACATTTATACAAATTGAATAAAATAGACAAGATTCTCAGATACGCAAAGACCAGACATACGAGTATATTTTTTCAAACCTTCCATAAGCCTTCAGAGGTAAAAGACGATCAATGTACTTTTTAGTGGGCCATGAGATTTGCAGTGGTTCTGGAGCATTTTGCTTTGGAGTTAAGAAGTAAGTGGCTAATTTTAAATCGCATGTTCAAATCCCAATGAGTAACGTTGAAAACGGTCCTTCAAAGACTTATGTCCAGTGTCGCAGAAGATGCTGGCTCAAAAAAAATCCCCCACTGCTTAATGGCAAAAAGTGCTGAATACGTCTAAATTTGGAGCAATGGGGAAATGTTTAAATATCGTCCTAACAAATCTCGAAGGGATTAAAAGCAAGGAAACAACCAATCTTCAATGGCCTAATTAAAGAAAAATACACTGGACGTCTCAGGAAGCTGAATTGTGATTTCAAAACTATTTGGAAAGAGTATGTTAATAATATTCAATTGAACCAAACCGAATCTACAAATGTTAAAAATGCTATAATGTCATAGTCACGAAGTTTAACCACTAAAGAAAGGCATTAAGAAAGACATCTGAATTATATTTATCAGGATGAATATGCAGATATATTTAAAACAACTCCTATGGTTCTTTAATGGCATATAGTAAACATAGGAACATAGATGAACTGGTTGTTAGATCAAAACTCAAATTAAATAAAATGTAGTGAAATTGAATGATGTGTTCACTAGGTGGGCCCCTAATCTACTCATGAGGCGGGCCTTACCAGGTATTACGTACCTTGAATTCAAAGACTGTTTGTTTGTTGTTTAACGTCCCTTTCGAAATTTTATTCACTCACATGGAGACGCCAAGACACCTCCGAAACACTCTTAATTAGTCATGGTAAATTTTATTATCGAATTGTTTCAAGAGTGAAGAATTCCAATTAGCTAAAAGCATAAGATTGAGACGTCGCCATTGTTTTATGAAGAGCTAATGCCCTGTAATCACATCTGGACGTCATTTTGTTTCCAACAAATGCTTGAAAATCTCAGTAGAACAATGTCGGCCGTTCTGATAAAAACTGATTTTGATGAAATTGTATTTTATAAAACTTGGTTAACAATAAAAAAATATTTGAATCATCTTATTTAAAAAAAAATCTTTTCAGTCGGTGCGATTATGATATTTATCATATTAGGTAACTAAATATAGAAATTTCTGTGAAATTCCTTTTAAACGCTTCTCCTCCTACAGTTTTTGTTTAATTTCAATATAAGTGTGGCGTACAAGTAGACAACACTAAGGTACAAAAATTAGTGCATCGGTTTTTGATTTCAATGAACGGTGTTACCATGATTACTAAAAATAGAGAATTTTTTTCAGAAATACTTTCAAATTGCTACTCCTTCTACAATTTTGGATTGATTTCAATATAAATTGGCACATGAGACAGGGTAGACTACACTAAGGTTCATACATGTAATTCTATTTATTGCTGCCTGTTGCAAAAAATCCGCGTACATGTACTGTTTTTCTTTTGTTATACGTAAAAACTAGTAGAGGTACAGTCTCATCAGAGACTTCTATTTTTTTTTTATTTATTGCTGTTGCAAAGGTTCAACTTCAAATGTTGTCTTTCTCTTCCATCGCTGTAAGTATAAGCCAGTAGAGCTACAGTCTCGTCAGAGACTTTGGTTACACAAGTACTTGACTGTACATGTATGTACCTTATTTATAAACCAAGACCCAAGTACCTTTGAGTTTTTACCCCCTCCGCTCCCCCTTCCAAATCAATTTATTTGTAAAATGTGCATATCCTTCACGGAAATGAAATAAGAGCATCTGAAGTAAAATATTCATAACATAGTCAAGTACGGCGTATATCTACTCATGCAGGATTTTAAACAAAGTATTTCTTCCTTCTTTGAGCCTGTAGGCTGTCAGTAGAAACTACAGTTGTATTTTCTGTGGGGAGTGCACCTGGTAACTATATAGATATAAATTCAATTACCCTTGCTGGTTCAGAGCTTTAAACAAAATTATCTTAGGTCTTTAAGTTCTTTACCAAAAAAAAAAAAAAAAATATGAAAAACCGTTTTCTAAAGGGTGTTAAGAAAGTTCATTCCATATTTTTCTTTTATTTTCATAAAAAAATTGAATTTATATACAATTTGTGATATTTTATGTTTACAGAGTCTATTCTTGCTACTAATAAGGTTTTAACTGACTTTTGTTGAATCAATAAGAGGAGGTCAGGTATTAAAACAGATGATGTCTGTACAGAGAACTTAGGATTGACGCATATTTGTGACATATATTAAGCATACAAGTCAAAACATCCCTTCAGATACAATGCAAAAATTATCAAGTCGGTGAAAAATTTCAAAATGACAAACTTATTCTTTTTAAAAGTGATCTATCGTTCTTGTGCCTACACTCATCAGCTTGTCTGCTGCAAGATAAGGTATGAAAAAACAAAAGTAAATTATCCTTTATTTTCACTCAAGATGACCAGCATTTCTATCTTTCGGATGCTTTAAAGATGTCATATATATTTTCATATGGAAGGAAGTCCTATAACTTCCCGCTAAAAATGAATTGCTATAAATCTAAAGCACGCTCTTGCAATTTTGTCAGACTTAAAAATTCATCTCATCTGTTAAGCACTACTTTAAATTTTTGAAAATATTACATCACGGAACGAACTTTCTTAACACCCCTTATAATACCATGTGTAAATCTAAATTATTATATAGATACATTTAAGCATTTATTTTTTTTATAAGATGTCTCAAAGCTTCAATGGTGTGTGCATCCCAACAAATTTTATAACTCGTGTTAAAAGACATGTCTGTAGAATACATTCTATTAAATGTTTAAAATATGAAAAACAATTTTTTGATGAACTTAAAATAGAAATAAGGACACCCTACATCACAACGTTTTCCACTAACGTCGTCTACAAGAAGCTTGTAAACCATTAACCATGGGCTGGGAAAGGGGACCTAGTAAACCATTAACCATGGGCTGGGAAAGGGGACCTAGTAAACCATTAACCATGGGCTGGGAAAGGGGACCTAGTAAACCATTAACCATGGGCTGTTTGTTTACGTCGTTCTGGGAAAATGAATTGTACATTTTAGAATTTCAGCTAGGATTTTTTTTCTATTTGTATTTGATGGTTTAAAATCTGTGGAATTTAAGACATTTGTCCAAATATTTGAATTTTTATTCCTTATTGCAACTATGTATGTTATAAAAATTAATCCCTGACGAATTCATAAGCATTACAATGTAAACGATCTTACGTTCTATGCAACAACTAAGTATGTATTCTAAAACATGCAGGCTGAAGGTAAAAAACTGTGAATTAAAAAAATAACGCAAAAAATATTGCGTGTTTAATATTACAGAAGGCGAATAATCGAAGACAAAATGTTCGGTATAGCAGTTTCCAATAGGAAGACCCAAACATCGGTGTCTCTATCGATTTTCAAGCTAGGGCCTATCCTGAGTACATTTAGCTACAACTGTATCTGTCTCGAGAACGGCTTCATCCCAACGGATTAACAATATTTTCTATGTGAAGTTGAATATGATTACAATAGATATACACGTATAACAAGTTTCAACTACAGATTGAAAATTAATAAAGTGCAGTTGTTAGAAAGACAAATCAAATTTCAAATTAAAACCCAGCGAGATAAATTAATGTTGGTGACAATTCAAACATACTGGAGAAAATAATTTTTTGCAACACATTTTGTGAGAATTTGCCCTGGACCCACTGGGGGCCTCAAGGGCTTCCGGGGGCTTTGCCCCCAGCCCCCACTTTGACCTCAAGCTATCCGCTTAACCCTTCAAAAGCAAAAAAACAAACAAACAAAACAGAACAAAAAAAAAAACAAAAAACCTTTTATCGATCCCTAGAGACAGTGCATAATATAATATACTGAGACCAAAAGAATAGTGAAATGTATACCTATATACCTGTATAACAATAAAATGACACCAGTGAGTATGTTTAGGTCTAGAAATGGGAAAAGTACATTTTGGCATTTTTATACAAATTTTGTATAATGTTTCGTTGATCATTTTATAACATTAGCACTAACTTTTTTTTCCACAAAGCATTGGGGGGATTTCAGCTTGGTGAGGGGGTACCACATAAGCTTGGTTGTCTTTTTTTATATTAAATGTTCGCAAAATAATTAGGACCTGTCCCTCCCGTGCCCCTCCCGTTCCTTCATGGGCCCGTGATGTAGTATCACGTACGATCAATAACCCTAAGTAATGAAATATTATTTGAAGTCTTTCCTCTTTACATGTGCCAAATTCATTACACACGTGTGTATGTTGTCTCTGAGACTTCCAGTCACAGATGTTCAGTGACTCTCTCTCTCTCTCTCTCTGTCTCTCTCTCTCCGCTTGTTTTACACACGTCGTGTGCAAGAACGAGGAAGATAACCCCCTGACCAGGATATTAATAGTAACGACCGCATTTTTCACGCTTGTGCAGGCTTTGAAAATCAACAAAATCATGTTTAATTCATGTGTTTGTGATCTACATTTACTCAGGAGCTGAGAAGAAATTGGATCTGAATCCCACTGTCTGAATATTGTGTCGGCTGAGCAGGACATCTCATCAAAATAACGCGGATCTACTTATTATATTTAAATGTTCTGCGGATTATTAACCCTTCTATGAGGTATGTCCTCTCTCTCCCCATATATCTCTCTCTTTCTCTTGGTATTCTGCTGTTACGCATTCTCCGGTAGGTTCATGGTCACGATTTAGGTTTGAATTAATTATACCCAAAGATAATTAACGGTGTGTAAAGTGCTCTGTCATGCTATCGGATTTTCTCTAAAGTTCGCGGGGGAAAGGATAAATGTACACGAATTGATTTTTTTCTTATAAAATACAACGCATTTCATAACGGTTGACTAAATCCAGTATTGCACAATCCGCTGAATATTTTGTATTTTTATTAACACCTTCGTTATGTAGGCAATAATAGATGGAGGCGCGGATCAAGATATTTTTCAAGAGCTGTATATATATATATACATGCAAGCTGTATACGTACTAGATTTTGTGTAGGTTTAACTTTTATCAATTTAAACTTAATTTATAAAATAACTTGTGTCTCCATCTCTGCTGAATCCACTTATCTGTAAATATTTGTATCGAACGATTTTGAAATGTGCAAACACTAACTTTATAGCCAGCACTCATCAAGACGGTTAGCAAATTGATTTATAAATATGATGGAAGATACGAAATCTCCAGGATTGCGTATTGTTATGGAAATAAGCATTTATTCTTATCATACACATGTATAAATTATGTCAACATCAAAGTATAGACATATAGATATAACTTAAGCTAAACAGCTAATAAATGAACAATTATTTATCTCTTTCGTCAAGTAACAAACAACGACGGTTTGAAAACAAGGCCCTTCAAAAGAGTCTTTGTTCAACATCCGGCTGTTAGATAATATCATGAGAGCGGAAGATATATCTATACGTCACAACCCAATTTTTTAGCTCACCTGAGGTGAAAACCCAAGTGAGTTTTGTCTGTCTCGTCCGACTGTCTAGCTGTCCTTCTGTCTATAAACTTTTTACATTGTCAATCTCTTTTCCAGTGACATTTGCCAAATTTTAACTGAATTTCTCAAAAAAGCATCCTTGGGTATAAAAGGGAATTCAAATTTGTTCTATTGAAAGGCCACGCCCTCATTCGAGGGGCGATGTAATTCAGAAATAGTAAAAATATAGTGGCATGTTTTTTAAAATTTTCTCAAGAACCACTATGCCAGGAAAGATAAAACTTAATATCCTCAAGCAATGTAAATTCAAGTTTGTGCAAATCATGACCCCCAGGGTGAGGGCGGGGGTACAACAGACGAGCAATGTTATCATTGAGTCAAATTCTGACAGACGTTTTTCATACTCAACGAAAATCCATTATTTACACAATGAATTGACGACGGATTTCCCGATCATGACAAGGAGCACACGGCGGGTGTGACCGGTCGGCAGGGGTCGGGATGCTCACTCCTCCATATGGCACTTGATTCCACCTCTGATGTTTGCAGGTCCGTGTTTGCTCTGCTCTTAGTTTGTATTGTTTGGACTTTTGAGCTTGAATACTGTTTATTATCTCCAAATACATTGTATTTCATCTTAGAAAACAATGGTTGTATACAGTTTGCCAATGCCTTTTCTCTGAAAGTGTAAATGAGTGCGGTTATAGGGAGGGGGTAGTATGATACATCTGACGTTTTCCACAAATTTTTCATATATGTTGATATACATAAGTATTTTAGGTGCCAGGAAAAAGGTTTTCATGGAAAACGTCAGATATTTCGGACTAGGGAGGTTTACTCCATGTATGTAATTCGGAGTTACCTTCACTTGTGCTAAATTACACTATGTGTAAAAAAAAATGTATTACCGAATCAAGTCTATGTGAGGCAAAGTCCCTGCTTTCAAGGCAAAGGAAGATATACCCATTACATTCGGATAAACGTATTCAAAGTATTTTTATTATGAAAAAATTATAACGAATTGACTTCGTTTAAACGAATTCTTAATTTGTTTTAACGGATACAATTCTGAAATAGAATTTAACATTTCAGTTTTACAGTAAAATATAATGATTTGTAGAATTCATTGAAACGAATTTTCTTCTTAATAACAAAAAATCACTTTATTCTATCATTCTTAAAAATGTTGTTATAAACTGTGGTACTCAGAATTAATGGATGTAAACTAAGAATAAACGGATGAATGTTGCAATACAGTTCTGGGAATGTCACCAAGCGGACTAAAAACCCTTCGGATTTGATGATCTGTTTGTGTATTCTGGGCGTTTTGAACCATTTGCATAGTGCTTAGTTTTTTTGTTTGAAAAGGTTAAAACTGTTTATTCTCTAAAGTATTTTTTTTAAACACGAATTGGAGTGCTTTCAGTACTTTGATTTTAAGTCTTATGTTTTATTTCTTGGTAGAAAACATGAAGAGGTTGAACTCCACCACGTCGAATTCAGAGACAACTGAGAAGAGATATTGTCAACGTGAAGATGACCCGATGGAAAGTAGCCCTGCCGTCCGGAGTGAATCAAGTACATGTACATACGGTGATTTCATCATTTTTAGCTCTACTGATCAGAGACCAGAAGAGCTTATGCGATAATAATGCGTCCGTCGTCCTTCCGTCTGTCTGTCTTTAAACAATTTTTCAAAATGCTACTCCTCCTACAGTTTTTGGTCTGATTTCAATATAACTTGGCACACAAGTAGACTATACTAAGATACATAATTCTGTGCATCGGTTTCTGATTTCGATGAACGGTGTTGCCGTGGTTACTGAAAATAGAAATTTCTGTGAAATGCTTTCAAAATGCTACTCCTCCAACATTTTTGGTCTGATTTCAATATAACTTGGCACGCAAGTAGACTATACTAAGATACATAATTCTGTGCATCGGGTTTTAGCTCACCTGAGCCGAAGGCTCAAGTGAGCTTTTCTGATCACATTTTGTCCGTCGTCCGTCCGTCTGTCCGTCCGTCTGTAAACTTTTCACATTTTCGACTTCTTCTCAAGAACCAATGACAATTTTAACCAAACATTACAAAGCATCCTTGAGTGAAGAGGAATTGTATTGTTAAATGAAGGGTTTTTCCCCTTACAAGGGGAGATAATCAAGAAAAGACAAAAATAGGGTGGGGTCATTAAAAAATCTTCTTCTCAAGAACCACTGGGCCAGGAAAGCTGAAACTTATGTGGAAGCATCTTTGGGTAGTGTAGATGTTAAATTGTTAAAATCATGACCCCCCAGGGGTAGGGAGGGGCCACAATAGGGAATCCAATTTTTACATGGAAATATATAGAACAAATCTTTAAAAATCTTCTTCTCAAGAACCACTGGGCCAGGAAAGCTGAAACTTATGTGGAAGCATCCTTGGGTAGTGTAGATTCTATTGTTAAAATCATGACCCCAAGGGGTAGGGCGGGGCATCAATAGGGAATTCCAAGTTTTACATAGAAATATTTAGAACAAATCTTTAAAAATCTTCTTCTCAAGAACCACTGGGCCAGGAAAGCTGAAACTTATGTGGAAGCATCCTTGGGTAGTGTAGAAATTAAATTGTTAAAATCATGACCCCCGGGGGTCGGGCGGGGCCACAATAGGGAATTCCAAGTTTTACATAGAAATGTATAGAACAAATCTTTAAAAATCTTCTTCTCAATAACCACTGGGCCAGGAAAGCTGAAACTTATGTGGAAGCATCCTGGGGTAGTATAGATTCTAAAGTATTAAAATCATAAAAGGGAAGGGGGTAGGGGGCACGATAGGTTCAGCAAGAGGGGAAATCTGGTAAAGAACTGCATCACCCAAGTTACTCAGGTGAGCGATGTGGCCCATGGGCCTCTTGTTGATTTTGATGAATGGTGTTGCCGTGGTTACTAAAAATAGAAATTTCTGTGAAATGCTTTCAAAATGCTACTCCTCCTACATTTTTGGTCTGCTTTCAATGTAACTTGGCACACAAGTACACGGCGGAGAATTTCGTCATGCGGGAAGGACACACAAAAAGCAAATAATGCCCCGCTTCGAATAAGAAGTTATATTTTTGCACTTATAAAAATGAATATTAAATCAGTATCCTGCCTAAAGTATGAAAGAACGTCATACAACAATAAACAATGTACGTTTCTTGAAAACCTTATTGTTCCAAACACTTCGACACAGTTTGAAAACAAGTGAGAAAAAACCGGGATGTGGGGTACACATTTTAAAAATTGACCAATTATTCGCATGTCCAGATGTATATGCCAGAAGAGATAAAACTTAATTCCTCAACATTTTATTCTTCCGCGTTTACACTAGAACTAATATTTTTAAAACATCCTGATTTTTTAAATAGTTTATTATGCTTTAATTATCCAAGAAAAAGGTATAAATCATTTTGTTTTCAGAAATGATGTAGGGCACACCAACACTAAAACGGATATGGGACACACAATAAGTTACTTTCAAATTGAAACATCGAGCATTCATATCTTAAAGTTTCTATTTAAATGACTGCCGTTTGATAGTATATGAACAATAACCTGTACAACTCATCTTTGTAATACTCCTCCAAATACTTGATTCACCTCTGGTTTGCTTGTATCCATACAAAAATTATAAGTTGAAAACGCTTGGTCTGTATCCTCAACAAAAGCTTCCAACATGAATTTGAAATTTTGACTTTTATTAAATTTCATGTAGAAATTTACCGGTGTTCACTTCTTCAGATCCATAGAAAGAGGGAGGGGGGGTCAAAGTCCGGAGATTGTGTTTATTTTATGATATATCTATTTTAAGTTACACGACATCCGCCCCCCTTTTCTCTGAAAGTGTAAAAAGAAACACGAAAAACACACACACACATACAAACGTTTCACGAAAAAGTTTTTCATAGCTTATGTTGCTTACTTTATTGCTTGTCAAAATAGTTTGGAGTCAGAAAATTTTTGGACTTTGTGAAAACTCCCCCCCCCCCCCCCCGGTGGGGAGGTTTATCCATGTATCAGTAATTTGCTTGTTAACTTGTGACTAAATGGGGCGGTCTTTGTATGAGGCCGTATTACCGAGGCCCCGTGTCACAGCAGGTGTGGCACAAAGATCCCTGCTGCTTAATGGCAGTGGAAGATAGGCCTAAATTTACAGCCCTTCACCGGCAATGGTATTCTACATATTTTGAAATATTATGGAGAAAACGTTAAACAGCATACAATCAATAAACGAATCCCCCCCTTAATTTGTCCCGAAAAAGTTCTTAAATCTGCAAATTGGTATTAAATAAGATTTGACACTAGCATGTCTTTTAAAATGGGAAAGATAATCAAGAACTTTTTTGTCAAATTATTTGCAACAACTGACCTTCCAGGTGATAATAAAAATTTATTTTCCCTACACAGTGGTCTAAAAATAGTCGGGAAATTCCAAATTGCAACAAATAGTTACTCAGAATTAAAGCTATTTTATTTGCTCCTAGCTTGCACTCAGGTGAACATAATATACAGTTAATCGAATGTATGAAAGTGGTTGCCAGTGATGGGCAGGGCCAGAACAAAAATTGAAGTTAAAAATTGTCTTTTCGTGGGTGCCAATCAAAGGTTTTTAGCTGTCATTTTTCTCTGATAATGACCCCCCCTTCAAAACTTATCATATAAAAGAGCTTGACATTATTTCTTTTTCATGTATAACTACTAAAGTACTTTTTACAACAACAAAAATCCCAATTTATTCTGCTGGTAATGTTTATTTAAGCCTGCTCCTATCATTGCTTTTGGCTAATATTCCAGCGAATGTAAATAAGATGGCATGAACTGCTTTATAAGTACGTAATATTTAATCACCGATTCATACATGTGTCTTTCCTGATATACTTTATTTTATCAAATAAAATATACAACATGACTATCAAGATAGTCATGTTGTATATTTTATTTGATAAAATAAAGTATATCAGGAAAGACACTTATGTATAATAAAACAATAATTTTTTTTTCAATTAATACGATGATTTTAACTTCGAAGTACAATTATTCAATTTTGTCTTTTTTTCTCAAATATATGGAGTCGGTAATTAACTATTAGAATTTTGCAAAGAAGTTTGTCAGCTGTTGCAAATATTTGAGCATAAGAAAAATTCTAATCTCCGCTTCCTATCAGCTGACAACGGTAGAGTTACCGACAAAGATCTAATAAAAACAAACACTGAATATGCAAATACAGAAACTTTTCGAACTCCTCCACACAAATCAGAAAAAGAAGTTCTGACTCCAAAACATTTTTACAAGCAAAGAAATTAAACAATCAACCTCAAAAAGCTATTCTATGTGTGTTTAATTGGGTCTGGGTTGTGTTACTTAACACAAAAATATCGTAGAGTACGTAAAATCATATACATAGACTCCGGACTTCAACCCTCCTTTTAGATATGCACATGTAAATACTAGTATCTTTCAATATGACATTTAATATAAGTCAAAATATAAAATTCATTTTGGCAGCTAATGAGCTTTTGTTGAGGATCAGACCGGCCATTTCAACTTATAATATTTGAATTCAAGGGAATTCCAATTAAAGAATTTTCTGACTCCAAACTATTTTGACAAGCAGAAAAGTAAGCAACAAAGCTAAAAAAAAAAAACTTATATCGTGAGTTTGTATGTGTGTCTGTGTGTGTGTGTGCTTTTTTTTTTAAAATGTTTGACCCCCCAGGGGGGGGGGGGGCACAATAGTCGTGTAATTTTTAAATAGATATATATAAAATAAACACAATCTTTACCCCCCCCCCTCTTTCTATGGATCTGAAGAAGTGAACACCGGTAAATTTCTACATGAAATTTAATAAAAGTCAAAATTTCAAATTCATGTTGGAAGCTTTTGTTGAGGATCAGACCAGCGTTTTCAACTTATAATTTTTGTATGGATACAAGCAAACCAAGGGAATCAAGTATTTGGCGGAGTATTACAAAGATGAGTTGTACAGGTTATTGTTCATATAATATTAAACAAGTCATTTAAAAAACTTCTAAGATATGAACCACTGTTTCAATTTGAAAGTAACTTATTGTGTGTCCCATATCCGTTTTAGTGTTGGTGTGCCCTACATCATTTCTGAAAACAAAATGATTTATACTTTTTTCTTGGATAGTTAAAGCATAATAAACTATTTAAAAAATCAGGATTAAAAAAAATATTTTCTAGTGTAAACGTATAGAACAAATCTTTAAAAATGTTTAGTACATCTGGACAGGAATAATTGGTCGAATTTCAAAAATGTGTACCCCACATCCCGGTTTTTTCTCACTTGTTTTCAAACTGTGTCGAAGTGTTTGGAACAATAAGGTTCTAAAGTATTAAAATCATAAAAGGGAAGGGGGAGCAAACGTACATTGTCTATTGTAGTTGACGTTCTTTGGCATACTGTAGGCAGGATGTTGATTTAATATTCATTCTTTATAAGTGCAAAAATAGAAATTTCTGTGAAATGCTTTCAAAATGCTCCTCCTCCTACATTTTTGGTCTGATTTCAATGTAACTTGGCACACAAGTAGACTTTACTAAAATACATAATT